TGATTTATTTCATCAGTATTTCCACAATGTACCACACCCGCATACCTTCCTACTATCCCACCCTTGAAGAATTTGGTTGGTGTTATCCAGCTGCCTGCCATATCCCCCAGCAACAAAGAGGAGCTTTCCAGATGGTAGCTAGCCGTGGAGGATTGTGGTAACTGGCTCTTGAGTAAGGAGACTTCCCCTGTGATTTGGCAGCATCAATGAAAGGCAACTATATATTTTACAAACGTTATTCCAGGATCAAGGCAGCCTTCCAATAAGGACAGTCAATTCCTGCCCTTCACAACAGGTAGCCCAGCCCCTGAAGTACTCTGAAAAGTGTAAGACAGAAACTCCGTCAAAGGTTGTGCTCCCCCAGCTCAATTTGAGAAAGCACACGGCAGTCTTATAGAGGAGAATCAGATCTTGTACTTTATTGCTCAACAAAGGAGGGAGGTGCAGATCCCATAAGGTTTTGGACCCCGCAGTTCTCCCTAGGGTCACAATGGGAAACATAGGGTTTTGTACCCCCTATGACAGTTAGAAATAAATCACAATTATTGGTTCCATCACAGTTAGTCACATATCCGTCACACCATTCTGATTGGGTTCGAACCTGTAGGCTGGATTTTCTCAGGCAAAACTGTACCTCCTCCAGCTAAACAATAGACTTTCTTCTTCCTAGGCTGTGAAATTCTAAAAAGTATCTAATTGTAACAAATATTAGTACATCATTCAGTGTTCTCCATCTAACACAAGCAAACTGGCATCAAGAGCATGCGCAGTTACGATTGGCAAGAACAAGCAAGGTCACTGTGGTGTGATCGCCTGTCAGCATTTGGTATTTTACCAGAATGCCTTTAAGCAATGAACCAAAGTGAATATCTGAATAGATGTTCATGATTGATTTCAGTCAGTGATTAGAATCATCAAAGGCACTTAACATATGCACCATGGAAGTGTTAAGTACACCTGCTAAGTTAGTCAGCGGCAGAGTGCAAAGGGTTTCATAAGCGATGTGTACAACAAAAGGGGTGCATTGTTTTGTGTGCTCAGTTTACAATGGGAGGGACCCGCTGTATTCCTTCTCCCCAAAGGTTCTTGCCAAACCGTCGTTTTGCTGGATAGGACGGTAGCTGGAGGAAGCCCCACTTACAAGACTGTGCGGAGCCTAAACGAAACATATGGGGAGATTCCAGCACTCTGAACAGGAGAAATACCTAGCAAGGGGAGTGAATAACTCCTCAGTTTGCTTTTAGGGATGGAAAGTACTTACATTGTGTGCGTGTGGGGGTAAGCGTTAGTATCCTGCAAAGGTGCGACTGGGGAGGTCATCTTTGTGTGGGCAAATGATATGCTGGGTGGTCCCTAGGGATGGGAAGGCTCAGCCGGTAGTAGTGTTCCTCCAAGAAGTAGAAGAGAAGCTTGGAAAAAAGAATACTACTACGACTCCCCGACCAAAATCACTCTGGAAGAAAAGCAGCCAATCAGAGAAATAACGCCACATCCCTTCCTCGCCTTTGAGGCGAATATTTACCACTAGCGGTAAAAAAAAAGGGGGGGGGGGAAGGTCCGTGCTGCGCGTGCGCATTAGCAACCTAAAGCTGGCGCGTCGCCTCAGTCGCTGAGTCTGGGAAGTGAAGGAGGAAATCGGGACAGTGAAGAGAGGGCAGGAGGCACATAGAGCATGCGCTATATCGGAAAGAGTCTTGGATACTAAGAGGCGAGGAGCCTTTCTTAGTCTCACCTCTGTCTCCGCTGTTGGAAACAAATTCCTGAACGGCAGCCAGGCCCAAATAAAGCCGTGGGAAGGGCCGCCGCTGATCGAAGACATGATTGAAGCAAAGTCAAAGCTGGCCTTTGTAAGTCTGAGAGAGCAGTAGCTTGCCTGTGCGAATTTCTGGCAAGAAGCAGTAGCTGAACAATTGTCGCAATTGACGCCTTCTGCTGTTCATCTTCCCGCTGAATCCTAATCTAGCAGTTTCATGCTTAAAACTCCTTTTGTTGGAGAATGGTGACTGTCAGATCACCAGCAGAGTGTCCTTTGAGCTTGCAATGTTCTCCTGCTGGTTTCTAAATGAGTGTTTCGTGTCAGATGTGTGTCCATTTATTCTTTTGCACAGAGGTTGATCTCTGTGGAGAGTGGCATGTGTCTCACTGGAAAACAAACAGGTGAAAGAGTCCCTAATGTAGAATTCTTGCACTGAGGTTCCTGGAGTGACTATGGGGATAGAGTCTGTCCCTGGGTTTGTTGCAGTGTTTGGGCACCCACTGCTGTTGGCCTCACCCTCACTGTATCGATCTAATGGATGTACAACCTCATGCACCTAATGAAGTGAGCTCTGCTTATCCTGGAATAAATTTTGTTAAACTTTAAGAGGCTCCTCTCTTATTCTACCGCTAGAATATTCGGCCCAAAAGGCAATGCTGCCTAGCTGGGACTAGTAACCCACAGAGACTGATTTTTTGTGTGATCATGCACTGCAAGTAGTGATTTGATTTGTGCTGCTGTTGATAAAACTTCCTTCTCCAGTGGAAAGCTGAGCCACCCAATGAATCCCTTTAGTTCAAGCCACAGAAGTTTGTACCAGTTAGCAAATGTAATTGACCAGTACACAGTAAAAGAAGTAAAACCCCAAACTTAAAACATTTCTGTTCCCTATACAGGAATATAATATTTGTAAAATACATAAACAAACCACTAATAACTTAAAATATTAAGTGATATAACTTAAATTACTTATAAAACCATCTCTAAAATATCAACTAGCATGACTTATCCATATTTTCCTCAGCTTAATTGCCAGCCAACCATACTTAGCCATTTTGAAGGTGACATCTCTGTTTCTATCTGAGCATTTTCTTGAGGAGACTTTTTTTATCTTTCCCTGGGAAGTTAGCAAATGATTGTTGCTGAGAGGAAAGAGAGCAGCAAAGTATACAAGAAACCTCTCAGTTTGCTTACCCTCTTCACCTGTGCTCAGTAAATTACCAAAAAGTCCAGTGTGGTGTGAAGAATACTTTTGAGGAGAAGTATTGAAATAAATTGACCAAATGCTTGATAATAAATTACCAAAGGATCCTAAGGTTTGCAGATCAGGATGGTTAGATGAATATATTCAATTGAAGTGCAGGGCATGGTGAAAGATATGTTTACTGCAACAAGAGTGGTAATAACTGGTGACTAGAAGAACACAAAGAGGTTAAGCGTTAAAATATGGATAGCTAAAGTATGACAACTAGCAACATTGCTGAAATTATAGGAATTAGTTCAATTGTGGGATGGTCGTGTTAAGAAACCTTACTTTGCAGATAGTTTGCAATTGTTTTATTGATTGTGGCATAAAGAATCTCATCTTTCTATAGATATATTTATGCATTTTTAATAATAATAGGAGCATATATATATATATATGTTTAAATTAAAATGATTATTGAGAATAAGCTTTTGAGGTACAAATAGATGGGTTTAATTAACTGTAGCAAATTAGTTACTTATGAATTAATATGCACTAGCAGTTCGGGAACATATTTAGTTTTATTGAAGATTCTGTATTATGTATTTTTATAGATGGCTTATCTCACACAAACTGTAAATAAATAGATCGTAAAAAGTATCTCACTGAATATATTACATAAGTGCTGTCACAACCAGCATGGCAACCCGAGAAAAGGGCTTTCAAGTGAAGTGAGAAGCAGAGGTGGTTTTGCCATTTGCCTTCCTCTGCAGAGCCTTCCTTGTGGTCTTCCACCCAAGCACCAAAACACTTCGCTTCTGAGATCTGGAAATATTTAGCTATACCACACTACCTTTCCTCCCCTGAATATACTACAGAATGTGTCCTCTTGTCTAATTTACGGAGCATTGTAAATAATGTTATAGAAAATTATTTTTTATGAAAGGCCAGTGTTTTGTAGTAGTTACAGTGCAGTACAGTTTAAGAGATCAGATTCAAATTTCCACTCTGTCATGCAGCTCACTGGATAACCTCGTGCTGGGTACTCTGTCTAGACCTAACCTACCTCATAGGGTTGCTGTGAGGCTGAAATGAAGGAGCACAGAGTGGTGTACAGTGACCTGAGTTCCTTGGAGGAAGACGGGATAAAAATGTACTGAAGTGAATAAACAAAATTGTGTTCCTCTTTCACATCTCTTAATTCCACGCAGTTCCAAGGCAATTTCATACAGAGACTTTATTAAAATGCAGACACTACAGAAACATTGGTGAGCCAGTATGCTCACTTTCATTCATATTTGTTTTAAATTTCATATTAATACTTAAATACAAAGCAATGAGAATGCTATAAACATGCTGATAATCCAAACTCAGGTTTTCTTTAATAAATGCCCTGGAGAGATTAGGGGTCTCTGGCTTTTTAACTACACTGTAGCATTTACCCCAGAGGGAATGTTTTGATGTTTGAGATAAGACCAAGAAGATTGTCAGTTTGTAAGACCCTAATAAAATTATATATATAAATCTCTATGGTAGCACCCTAGCAAACTATAGCTTTGAGGAACATACACACCCCCATTATCTGAACTCTATTACTCAAAAACAATACTGGGAAAATACACATTATCCAACCGTTTTGTCTCACAAGTCAATTGGATTAATACAGTTTGCCATGTTTGTATTTTTCCTATGCCAGTGCTTTGCACTTTAAACACTAGTAGTGCAATCCTGTCCACGTCTCTACTTATAGACTCCTAATGCATCAAACCAGCGGGCCATCTAGTCCAGCATCCTGTTTCATATACCAGCCAACCAGTTACCCTGAAGGGCCAAAAACACAGGGTATAGAGGCCACCTTCCCCTGACATGGTATCTTAGTACTGGCATTCAAAGGTTTACTGCCTTTGGATGTGGAGGTTTCCTGTAGTCACCATGGATCAGAATTAAGTCCCATAATATTCAATAGTACTTGAATCAGAAAATCACAGAGCTGGAATACCCCTGGTATTTTTGGCCACTGTGTGACAGAGTGTTGCACTGGATGGGTCATTGGCCTGATCCAAAATTGGCTTCTTTTATATTCTTATGTAACCCCCTGCTCAATGCAGGATCGGCCTAGAGCATTTATGCCCAGTCCCTAAATCCTGAAACATACAGATGTAATCGTGTGTAGAGTTGCTGCAGTAATATTGGGGGCAAAACAGCAGGGAGTAATTCTGCAGGGAATAATTCTGCACAAGACTGCACTGTGAATCACTCAAAACAGTGCTTCAGATAAAGGCATATCAACATGTGCCAATCCAGTGGCATAACATTACACCTGCAATGCTTCATGCAGGTGGAGCACAAATGTTTAGAATCAAAGTGTTATAGTAATCTTTGATTTATGTAGTGCAGTCCCATGGATAGCATAGACTTCAGGCTATGCTAACAGATTCTAATGTATTGGAGTAAGTGCATGGGATTATGCTACTAGTAGCTCTGCTAGGGGCAATACAAAAACAAAATACATGTCTCTTACTATGGTTTAATAATGGAATTAAAATAATAACACTGTATTAAATTGCTGCCCTTTTGTTATAAGATCTTACCAGCTAGATACACAAACACACCTCGCACACACATGCAGACTGGGGTAAGTGGAGCCCTCTCTGGAAATCTTCCATTGTTGCTATTACAATTTACTTCCAAAATGTAACTGTCCTGCAGTTGATACTGTGGTAAATCTACAAAAAATTGCTTTGTTCCTAAAATATACAAAAAACACTCCCCAAATTCAAAGAAAAATATTGTGCTCAAGTCAGCGGCCTATATACATAGTATATAAAGGTTAAATCTACATAGCAAACAATTTGATGTGGAAAATGTTAGTAAACACCCCCCCCCCAAGGAAATTGCATAGGACACTGAGATGGCTCAGCAGTGGACAAAAGTTCACTGCCTGCAAAATTCACTAGTAACGTTTGGAAGAGGGTAAGCAAACAAAGAGAAATCCAAAATGTACTTTGGCAACAGATCTTTGACAAGCCCCCTTGGAGTGTTACACAGATAGTAATGCAAAGTCTGAGGAGTCACTGGCTTGTACCATGATTGCCTTTCTGGGAAGTGTATAAAGGAGGGTGCTTGAACACGTTCCAGAACATAATTGGCATCTTCATTCAGTCTTTCATAGGATCCGATGAAATCGTACCTCACTGCACAGGGCTGGCACAAGCTGTAGATGGGCATCCAGTGTTCGTTCATTTTCTCCACCTCTTCATCTAAGAGGTACCGGAGAAATTCGGAGAAAGTGACATCATCTCCAGTGGTTTTCCCAGGGTTTTTCCTATACTTTTTAACTATCTCCACTCCGTATTTCAACTGGTACTCCTTGATCTCTCCAAATTTATTTCTGTAAGCTGATAAAAGTCTCTCCATTGGGTCTCGGACAAAGATGAACTTGAAATAATGCTTTAGCCGGTATCGGATCTCCTCTGGTTTCATGTCACTTAGGAAAATCAAGTCTCTCTTGTGGTCCATTTTCAGCTTCACGTCCACATTCTCCAGCACGCCATCTAAAACTTTCAGAATCCGTTTCCAGTTGGAGCAGGCAACTTTGGGCACGTAGCAATACAAAAAGCGATGTTTGTCACTAACCAGAATGTGTTTGAGTAATGTCCTTCTCTGGCCCGCAGAGAGGTCCCAGATACTGTGGGGCATGTTCTTTTGCCCGCACATGGTACGGATTGTCCTGTTACGGATATCCTGGAGCACCTGGTACCCTACATCCTCTGGCACCGAAGCAGCTCTGGCACTGCCCGCATTCCTCCAGGAGAGCTCTCCGTGGGAGGGGTGGAGCGGTGGGGGCTTCACCTCAGCCAAAATGCCCTTCTCGATCATGAGCAGAAGGCCGCTGGAGGCCACGATCACGCCAAACATCAGCATGGACGGCAGCAGCATGGTGCCACTGCTGCCACGCAAGCGGGTCCTGGCAGAGACGGTGGCCCGCCGCACAGAACTGCCCCCCATCTCTGTGCCTCTCGCCACCACTGGGATGAGAGGCTGTGGAAACATGGGCCCAGAGGATGGCTGGAGGGCTGGAAAGGCAGCACGACCTCCGGGCCCAAAGGGGACGCCACGGCCGTTACCTTTGGTGGATGGGGCAGTGGGCCTGTCTCGGCAACTCCCGTTCAGTCAAACTGGGTCACCTCTACATGCTTCCTCCAGTGAGCAGCGACGGGGCCCGGGGACTCCCCAGCGGCTTTCCTTCCACGCAGCATTCAGCCCAAGGGGACTGCAGCCTGCGCTCCTCGTCCTCTACCCACAGGGTCGCTGCTCTGGATGGGGCTGCCGGAAGGCCCGGCACAGGAGAGTTGCAGACAAGGGCCAGACGCTCTCTCCCGGCAGCCGCGAAGGGAAGGGCAGCCGCCCGGCAGTGACGGCCTGGTCGGGAAGGCGGGTCCCAGGCGGTAGGAGGCCCCCTCGGCTCCCCCTCCCCCTCTTCTCCTTGGTAGCGGCTTGCATCTCCCTGCAACGCAGACGGTTTCCTGCATTGCCTCGCTGGCGGAAGGGTATGCTGTGCACGCGCGGGCGCGCGCTTATTCTCTTTGGGAAATGGAGCAGAACGGTCTAGGACGCAGGCACGGATGTGAGGTTAGGCCTGCCCTCCTAGTCCTAAATGAGGGTGCATACAGAGTCCTTGCCCTTGTGCTGATAGGCTGTCTGCCTACTTTTATGGAAGTGCAGGAGAGCACAGGAAAAGTAGAGCTGCCAACTCTCGGTTGGGGAATTCCTGGAGATTCAGGGTGGAGTTTTGGAAGGGGTCTCGGTGGGGCATAATATCAGAGCCCGCTCTTCAAAGCTGCCGTTTTCTGCAGGGGAACTGATAGCTGTAGCTTGGTGGTCAGTTGTAATTCCAGGAGGTCTCCAGGCCCCACCTGGAGGTTGGCAACCGTAAGTAAAACTTGGATCGCTACTTTTGGCGAACACCCTTGGGGGGGTCCCCCCCATTGCAGAGTTATAGTGATATCTACTGACTGCACTGTAACAATCATAGCCTTGGGAGTACTGCTGGACTTTAGCTTCATTCTCAGATCTTTTTGTTTAACTCGCATTTACGTGCTAATTTGCTGCTATCCATTGATCTTGCCGGCCACCTAATCCAATTCAACCCTGCATATGCATCTTGGCTCTGATTGGCCCCTGGTAACAGCTGACCCCCACTCTTTTCCCCCTGTAAGTAACCCTTGAGGAAATTTTATTCCATTTGTCTGAAGACGTGTGCTTTGCACGAAAGCTTACACTTTGAATAAAATTTTGTTGGTCTTAAAGGTGCCACTGGACTCAAACTTTAATCATATAGTTGCGATCTGCAACCATGAGGCTGAGGTGGTGCAAATGTAACCCTGATTCCCGGGGGTGTGTGTGTGTGTTAGAGTTACTGCATACAAGGTTTAAAAAGACCAGTCTTCCTGTAATGATTGGTGGGTCTAAAGTAGAAGCCTTAGGAGGACTCCTTGTCTGTAAAAATTAGGCATCAATGCTTTAGGGGCTACAAGGAACCCTGGGAAAGGAAGAGACAACATACCAAGGCAGAACAGAGCTGCAAGTCCATTCAACTCCAGGGGACTGGCTTGATTAAAGTCAGTCCCTTGGTCTGCTTGGGCCCAACAGACCCGAACTGTTCCGAGTTATTTATTCTATACACCTTGTCATTTCAGTCATGTGTATGAAAAAGGGGAAAGATATTTGATGTTTGCTGTCAACTCTCATCAGTATAAGTCTCGCAAGGTGGGGTCACACAGTGCAAATACTTGAGCTCCCTGAATTATGATTTTTTTAAATCAAAACCTCTTTTTGAGTTCAACTAGAAGTCACACAAACACATGGATCTGAGGCTTGGACTCTCATTATTTTTGTGTTTTATATTTTTATTATTTTGAATAAAAAGTTGCACATATTTACATTCCATCAAATTGTTTACAATTCCGCTCAGAGTCATTCATTCCAGTTATTTAACTAGTCTGTTGGTACTATAACATTTGATGTTACAATTTTATATCTTTTTCTAATTACATTTCTGTTTGGTGTTCTATCCATTTATATACCTTATCCCATCTCCTTTTGTGTACCTTTTCATTTTTATTTTGTATCTTTAGGCTTAAATCGTCCATTCTGGCTAGCTCTAAAATTTTATATAACAGATCTTCCCTAGTAGGTAGGCTCCCAGATTTCCAGTTTTGTGCTACTAACAGTCTGGCTGCTGTTATAATATAGCTGATTATATACGCATCCTGTGTATTGTAACCTTTTGGGATCATATTCAGCAGGTATATTTCTGGTTTCAATGCTACGTTTTTACCTAGACTTTCTTGGAGGACTTTCCTAACTATTCTCCAGAATCTTTGTACCATATTACACTCCCACCACATATGGTAAAACGTACCTTTACAGCTTTTACATTTCCAGCATTTATCGGAATACCCCCTATAACATTTGGCCAACTTAACGGGTGCCCAGTGCCATCTGTGGAACATCTTAAATACATTTTCTTTATACGCAACCGCTTTCATATATTTAACGGATTTCCACATATTTGCCCATTGTTCTTCCTCAATTTCCCCTATATCTTTCACCCAGGTGATCATTACATTTTTAACGTCTTCATCTTTCATATATTCTTATGTTTAAGATACAGTAATTGTTTTTGTATCTTGGTGGTTTCCAAGGAATCTAATTTTTTCCTTTCTATTAAAAGGCGTTTGTAAATTTTTTTGGACCCTTTTTTTTATGTTTTTCTTCTAATGCTGTTATCAAGGATAATAACTCATCCATTAATTCATTTCTTTTTTTGTTATAATAGGAAGAAAGAGAAATTAATTTCCCTCGTATGACGGCTTTCATGGCATCCCAGACAATATGGGTTGGAACACCACAGTCCGAATTGGAATCAAAATAATCCTTCAAAGATTTTTCGATATCCTGACATGCACTTTGGTTAAATAAAAGATTTTTGTTTAAAGCCCAGGAGTGTGGACCTTTTGATTCTGGTATTAAAAGTAAATTACATTCAATCCAGGCGTGATCGGACAAAGTCCTCAGGCCAATATCGGATGATGTAATTCGATTGATTAAAGACGGTGAAGTTAAAATATAATCGATTCTTGTGAAAACGTTATGTACTGGTGAGAAGAATGTATAATCTTTCATACCAGGATGTTGTAGTCTCCAAATGTCGTTTAGGTGGTGTTTGACCAGGAGGTTTTGTATATTGGACTTCTTAACTTTACTTGAACCAGGGGTAAATGATCTATCCCATTTATGGTCAGAGATGCTGTTGAGGTCTCCTCCAATCATAATGTGACCTTCTGCGAAATTTTCAAGACTTGACAATGTTTCTTGTAGAAACTTATCTTGCCCTGAGTTTGGAGAATAGATTACACCAAAAGTCCATTGTTCGTTGTTGAAATCGCCTTTTAAAAACAAGTATCGACCCTTCGGATCTTTTTGTTGAGAGCGGCAATGAAATTGTATCTTATTTGAAAAAATAATAGCTACTCCACGGGAGGAGGAGGACCCTGGGGCTAAAAATTGGGAACTGAACCTCTTAGATTTAAAAATAGGGTTGTTTGAATTTTTAATATGGGTTTCCTGTAGAAAAGTGATATCAGAGTGTATTTTGGTCAGAAAAGCAGAGATTTTTTTAGATTTTATGCAATTGTTTAAACCATTACAGTTCAATGAAACAATTTTAAGTTGTTCACCCATTTGGCAATAATGGATCATATGTAATAACAAGAAACCACAAATAATCCCGGCCAAGATGTGATGGTCTATAACTTATAAACTTTAAACTAAACCTTATAATAACCAGATATAACTTAACATAATCTAAACTACCCTTTTCAAAAGGGTTCAAAATTATCAGGCTGGCCCCGACTCCTCGGGGCTTAGGCCAGTTAACACACAGTTAACAAAAAAAATGAGAGAAAAATTAGCATTACAAAAAAAACAGGTGGGGGGGAAAAAGCGGTCACTCAATCAAACCTCCCACCATATGTTGAGAAATTTTGGGGGAATTACATCCGAACAAATTGCTTGACTACAGCATTTCAACATGGTTATATAGTCTTGCAGAAGCACCGCCATTATGTTGAGTAGGAGTAGGTATCTAATGACTTTTCTATGAAATGGGGAGATGAGCTACTCCATTGTATATTGCAATCCGTGTGAAATCAAAACCAGGATGGAAAATAATAATAAGTAACCTATGCTTCTGGAAAAGAAATGATATTGAACCAGCATAACACAATATTTCAGGTTGTAAAATACAAAGAGTCAGAGGATATAAGAAGCATCACTAACATCATAAGAGTCAAACTGATTTCCCTTAAACTTAAATAGGTTTCCTTCATCTTATAATAAAAACAGAATAGCTTTAATTTGGTTGGAGAACAGGATGATACCAGAATAGGTGTGATTAATTAAATGCTTACTACCTAGTATCTTTAAGGCTAAACTGCAGAAAGAGAAAGGAGACCAGAGGTTGATTGGCAACTAATTTGGATAATATACTAAACAGAGATAGGTTAACATCACCATTTTATACTAATAATTGAAGACCTCAAAAAACAGTATAGCTAACTTTTGTATACTGGAGATAACCTTATCAGGTTAATAAATAATAGCATGTGTTCTGTATTGCAGGAATAGGAGGTAAAAAAGCACTAAAATAGGGCACCTTCCCTTAGGGACTTTAAAAGGACAGCTTATCAATTCATAATGCACACTGAAAAGTTTGTTTTAAAAATGACATAAAGAGTATTGAAGCCATAAACATTCTTCAGCGTTTGTTGATTAGCCTGGCTTTTAAAATAAATGCATTTCTCCGTATCCTATTGATGCAATTACTAATCTATTATACTTGATGGATGGCAGAAAAAGGGAATTAAAAGTAAGAGGAACAGGAATGAAAAAATAAAAACTTAACTGAGGTAGGTTTACATCACCATAGGGATAGGACAGGATGTTGAAATTGTCTTGAACAAGAGGTGTTAATAAGCTTAGAGGGAAAAGGCGAGAATAATATGAACTATATTTTATAAGGGCAGAAGTAACAAAAATTGGTTTGCTTCACCAAGTATAAAGAAATGAAATACATCTATTTGAATTAGAGAAGGATAGATATAGTGTAGAAAAAAAACATGGAAGGAAAATAAGATAGGTTATAATCACCATGATGTGTCTGAATTAGAGCTAATAGACCCTAGCTGCTTGAAAAGGAGAAGTAAACAAAGATATATATTGATTTTAGCTCACTATTACTAACTGCAAATGTGTCCCATAATCAAAGTACTAGTAACTAAGAAAAATAAAGCACAACAGAAACTTATTTCAAAGCTAGATAGAGTTTACCTAAACCGGGTACAGTCCTTATGGGACAGACTGAAAGCTAGCTGTGAACACAA